CATCGGCAAATTTGCAAATGTTGCTACTCAAACCTGAATCTAAATCATTTATATATATTATAAACAACAGAGGTCCCAGGACAGAGCCTTGAGGCACTCCACTTACAACATTTTCCCACTCTGACTTGATTCCATTTATACTAACTCTCTGTTTCCTTTGGTATAGCCATGCCCTAAAACACTTGGACACTTGAACGTGTCCAGCGTAGGATGACTAAGTTAATTCCCCAAATTAGAAATCTTTCATATGAAGAAAGATTAACAAAGCTTAAGTTGCATTCACTGGAAAGGCGAAGAGTTAGGGGTGACATGATAGAGGTTTACAAGTGGATGAATGGACATAACCGGGGGGATATTAATAGGGTATTAAAAGTATCAACACAGGACAGAACACGAAACAATGGATATAAATTGGATAAGTTTAGATTTAGGAAAGACTTGGGTAAATACTGGTTCAGTAACAGGGTTGTTGATTTGTGGAACCAATTGCCGCGTAACATTGTGGAGGTGGGGTCCCTCGATTGTTTCAAGCACGGGTTGGACAAGTATATGAGTGGGATTGGGTGGTTATAGAATAGGAGCTGCCTCGTATGGGCCAATAGGCCTTCTGCAGTTACCTTTGTTCTTATGTTCTTATGTTCTTATGTACTACTACTACTACTACGACTATTAAGAACATAAGAACATAAGAACAAAGGTAACTGCAGAAGGCCTATTGGCCCATACGAGGCAGCTCCTATTCTATAACCACCCAATCCCACTCATATACTTGTCCAACCCGTGCTTGAAACAATCGAGGGACCCCACCTCCACAATGTTACGCAGCAATTGGTTCCACAAATCAACAACCCTGTTACTGAACCAGTATTTACCCAAGTCTTTCCTAAATCTAAACTTATCCAATTTATATCCATTGTTTCGTGTTCTGTCCTGTGTTGATACTTTTAATACCCTATTAATATCCCCCCGGTTATGTCCATTCATCCACTTGTAAACCTCTATCATGTCACCCCTAACTCTTCGCCTTTCCAGTGAATGCAACTTAAGCTTTGTTAATCTTTCTTCATATGAAAGATTTCTAATTTGGGGAATTAACTTAGTCATCCTACGCTGGACACGTTCAAGTGAATTTATATCCATTCTATAATATGGCGACCAAAACTGAACTGCATAATCTAAATGGGGCCTAACTAGAGCAAGATATAGCTTGAGAACCACACCAGGTGTCTTGTTACTAACGCTGCGATTAATAAATCCAAGTGTCCGATTTGCCTTATTACGAACATTTATGCATTGATCCTTTTGTTTTAAATTCTTACTAATCATAACTCCCAGATCCCTTTCGCAATCCGACTTCGCAATCACAACACCATCTAGCTCGTATCTTGTAACTCTATCATCATTACCTAACCTCAGAACTTTACATTTATCAGCATTAAACTGCATCTGCCAATCCTTTGACCATTTCAAACCCTATCTAGATCAACTTGAAGTGATAGTGAGTCCTCCTCCGAATTAATTTCCCTACCGATTTTCGTATCATCGGCAAATTTGCAAATGTTGCTACTCAAACCTGAATCTAAATCATTTATATATATTATAAACAACAGAGGTCCCAGGACAGAGCCTTGAGGCACTCCACTTACAACATTTTCCCACTCTGACTTGATTCCATTTATACTAACTCTCTGTTTCCTTTGGTATAGCCATGCCCTAATCCAGCTTAATATAGCACCCCCAATACCATGAGACTCTATTTTTTTAATCAGTCTTTCATGTGGCACTGTATCAAAAGCTTTGCTAAAGTCAAGGTATACAACATCGCAATCCTTACCACTATCAACTGCCTCAACAATGCTAGAATAAAAAGATAACAAATTTGTTAAACATGAACGGCCATTTATAAAACCATGTTGCGACTCAATTATTAATTTATGTTTTTCAAGATGAAGACGAATTTTATTTGCTATTATAGATTCGAGTAACTTTCCCACAATAGACGTTAGGCTAATTGGTCGATAGTTAGACGCAAGAGATCTATCTCCTTTCTTAAAAACTGGTATCACATTAGCAACTTTCCAAAACTCTGGCACTCTGCCTGCCTCTATTGATTTATTAAATATGGTTGACAGTGGGTCACAAAGCTCCTCTTTGCATTCTTTAAGCACCCTAGCAAACACTTCATCCGGCCCTGGGGATTTGTTTGGTTTGAGTTTTACTATTTGTTTAAGAACATCCTCCCTGGTAACTGCTAAACTCGTCAACCTGTCCTCGTCCCCACCCATTATTACTACTACTACTACTACTACTACTACTACGACTATTACTACTACTACGACTACTACTACGACTACTACTACTACTACGACTACTACTACTGCACGATTTACGAACACATGGGAGGCGCCGGACACATACAAAATAAACATAAAAATACGAATATGCATAAAGTCTCGTATCCCCCCCCCCCGTCCCGTCTCTCGTACGTACCCACACACCACACTCGTGACAGTCACAAGGCAACACCTGTCATATGACACGTTACCCCGGCGTGACCACACTCCCCCCCTTCCCCCCCCTCACTATGGCGCCTACCTCCTTACCTACCTTGAGGTTACCTTGAGGTGCTTCCGGGGCTTAGCGTCCCCGCGGCCCGGTCGTCGACCAGGCCTCCTGGTTGCCGGACTGATCAACCAGGCTGTTGGACGCGGCTGCTCGCAGTCTGACGTACGAGTCACAGCCTGGTTGATCAGGTATCCTTTGGATACCTGATCCTCGCACACACTTCCCAGAAAACACCTCGGGGGATTAACATCAACGGCCGATGCCCATGTCACATGAATTTGTGGGTTTGTACTCACTGGATTTGTATTCACTGGATTTTTACTCACTGCAGGGACTTGAAGTAGAAGAGGGTAGAAATAGCCTAAGCTACTCTATCCCTTCAAGTATGCTTATTGAGACAATAAAATATATCTCAAAGGGATAGAGTAGTTTAGGCTATTTCTACCCCCTTCTACTTCAAGTCCCTCAAGGGGCGCACAAATTCAGTGAGTACGATACACAAATCACAATACAGGAATCCCATTTAACATTGCAAGTTAATATAAAGAGAAAGAGAAGGGCCTCAAAATAACAATACATTTACTGTATATTACACTAACAGTAGAAGTCTGAGAAACAAAATAAACGATTTTAAATCCTCTTGTCTGCACAGAAAAAATAGATATTATTGCATTTACCGAAACGTGGATGAATGTAGAAAATAAGAGAACTATTAGCTGAATATCAAATAAATGGATTTAAACTATTTCACACAGATATATTAGACGAGGAAGGGGAGTAGCCATATATGTTAGGGAATATTTGAAATGTAATCTCAAAGAAGGAATCAAAACTGAGCCACACACAGAAACTATTAGGATAAAATTAAACGAAAGAGCAAATAATCGTATAATAGGAGTTATATACCGGCCACCAAACTTAAACAGGATGGAAGCAAAGCACCTATGGGATGAAATATCTAGAGCATCTAGGACTAGCAGTATTTGTGTCATGGGTGACTTTAATTTTAGTGGAATAAATTGGTTTAACAGAACAGAGAATAATGAAGCAAAAGATTTTCTAGAATTAATTGACGATTGCTTTCTTAGCCAACACATTAAGGAACAAACGCGGGAAAATAATATTTTAGATTTAGTGTTAACTAACGGGGAAACACAAATTAATGACATCGAAATAAGGAGTGAGCTAGGGAACAGTGATCACAAAGAAATCAGATTTAGCATAGAAGGGAATAGATTCCATTATTGACATACTCTACATCACGGTGTTATCGTGATGTAACACGTGTTACTACGGTTACCGGTCTGCTAATACACCTTGGAGTTCAGCCTGCGTTGAAGAGACATTGTCAGTTAAGCGGCGTCCAATAACAGTATCTACAGTGCCGCTGTCAATGTACTCCCTGATCAAGACTCCACATCCTGCCTTCCCATCCCTAGCTACTGACCCATCACAATATACATGTAGTGTTTTCTGTAGGTAATTTTCTAATTATACAATCATATGTTGCCCCCAGCTCTCCTCTCTTATGCATACTTTTTTCGTTTGCAAGGGAATAATTACTACATCTACGTTACAATCCTCCCATGGTGGTGTGAATTGTCTCTTAGGCAGAGCAATACATTCTGGAATAACATCATACTTTATAACATTAGAACATATGGTACTCATATATGCTCTTATTATACTCTAACATACATTGTTCATTACTTCCCAACTTTTGAACTGAGAGGATTAATTCATTAGCTCCCCCACCACTCATTAATCTAATGGCAGAGGCTACATTTATCTCTGAAATTCTATCCCCAATACTCTTCAGATTCAATTCCATCCTCATTATCTCAATTATAGCATTTCTTGGACATCCTAAAATTATTCTCATGGCTTTATTTTTTACCTTCTCCAACTTGCCCATTCTACCATTACCAAAAAAAAAAAAATGACACGTGCATCATAATCAATAAGAGATCTTACAGTACTCAATTATATCAACATCGCTCCTGTGCCTGAAAACATAAGAATATTTTTTGAGAGATATATACAAGAGTTGTTACATTCTTGTACAGCCACTAGTACGCGTAGCGTTTCGGGCAAGTCCTTAATCCTATGGTCCCTGGAATACGATCCCCTGCCGCGAAGAATCGTTTTTTCATCCAAGTACACATTTTACTGTTGCGTTAAACAGAGGCTACAGTTAAGGAATTGCGCCCAGTAAATCCTCCCCGGCCAGGATACGAACCCATGACATAGCGCTCGCGGAACGCCAGGCGAGTGTCTTACCACTACACCACGGAGACTGCATTGGGAATATAGGAATATAGGAAACTGCAGAAGATTTCTTAGCCCATACGAGGCAACGTCTATTTATTTCATAAGAACATTTTGCAATCGTTAGTTAGACAAATTGCTAAATTTATATTTTTTTATTTTCCTAGTCCTCCGAGCACTCTGCCGGGCATTAGAGAAAGCAGCTCAGTCTTGAGGGCCGCACGATCCCGGATCGAGCCGAACGTTCAGGCAGTTTAGAGGTCAGCGTTCTTAATCCGATAGCTGACAAATGTCAACACAGGCGCCGGCTAACGTTCTCCACTACCACCACCAGCAGAGTCAAGCACACACCCGATGATAACTACTGATCAAACAGCACAGTGACTGCTAACTCTAACACGACACATGTAAAGAACAATAAAGTTTTCCTATTTGGAGACAAAAGAGCATCACCTTGATACTTTCTCCCCAGAAGGTTGCCTCAGAGGCTGAACTGTTGCCAGAACTGACATAAATATTGGTGTCTTCAGCCTGGTGTGCTCGGCGACAGGGCAAAGCCAAAGCAACAACATTAAGACCTTGTGTATCCTCTATAATCATTTTGCGCACCTATCACAGATGACTGATGACAGTTGTGAATGCTACAACTATTGATACAACAAGAACAACAACTATACCACACAGGTGAACGACGTGAGAATAGCTTTTTAAATCTGAATTGAATGTGAACTACAACACAGAAAAAAACGCTATCGTAAGAGCCTGCGAGCCCGAACGTTCAGGGGAAAGATAGCGGGCGTGGGACATCCGCTGTATACGTGACTCGTGCGTGACTTGGAATATATACTAAGAGAGACTGTCTTAGGCTTGTTTGTTTCGCTTGGGGCTAGAGTCATGCAAATGTGCAGGGCGAATGGTCTGGGGTATGGGACGGACATACACTTAGGTAATTACATACACACACACACAGTAGTAGTAGTAGCAGCAGCAGTAATAGTAGTAGTAGTAGTAGCAGCAGTAATAGTAGTAGTAGTAGCAGCAGCAGTAATAGTAGTAGTAGTAGCAGCAGCAGTAATAGTAGTAGTAGTAGCAGCAGCAGTAACAGTAGTAGTAGTAGCAGCAGCAGTAATAGTAGTAGTAGTAGCAGCAGCAGTAATAGTAGTAGTAGTAGCAGCAGCAGTAATAGTAGTAGTAGTAGCAGCAGCAGTAATAGTAGTAGTAGTAGCAGCAACAGTAATAGTAGTAGCAGTAGTAGTAGTAGTAGCAGCAGCAGTAATAGTAGTAGTAGTAGCAGCAGCAGTAATAGTAGTAGCAGTAGTAGTAGCAGCAGCAGTAATAGTAGTAGCAGTAGTAGTAGCAGCAGCAGTAATAGTAGTAGTAGTAGCAGCAACAGTAATAGTAGTAGCAGTAGTAGCAGCAGCAGTAATAGTAGTAGTAGTAGCAGCAGCAGTAATAGTAGTAGCAGAAGCAGCAGCAGTAATAGTAGTAGCAGCAGCAGTAGCAACAACAACAGGATTAGTAATTGCAACAGCAGTAGCAATAGCAGCAGCACTAGAAGTAGCAGTAACAGGAGTAGTAGTAGGTATTAGCAGCAGATGTAACAGCAGTAATAATACCAGTAGCAGCAGCAGCAGAAGTAACAGTAGCAGCAGCAGCAGAAGTAACAGTAGCAGCAGTAGATGCCCTAAATTATTGGTCAGGTGTAATGAGCTGAAAGCGGAAGGAGTTAAAGCTAACCCCTTACCAAGAGGCAGAGCCCAAGAGCTGAAACTCGCCCTGCAGGCTACCTGTACCCATAATAGTAAATGGAGCTTTGACAAGAGATTTGACGGGAGACATTGCATTACACGGAAAACTGAGAAGGAAAACAAGGCCAAGAAACCGAAGTTTGGCCATGGAGAGGGTATTATGTAAGAACATATAGGTGAGCGCATCAACACCGCGTCATAATATCAACACAAGCACGTGGGGCGAGCGTGTGTGGGGGAGGTGCTTGGTGCAATTATGGACGTGCGTTTTTGTGTACACGAGGTAGTACGTGGGGCCGTGTAGGAGAGCACACAGGGCAGTGTGGAGTGCGGGTGTCTCACACACCGCCCTCCTGCACCACACCCCCATGACTTGGCCTGCACCACATCATATGACTCGCCCTACACCACACCACATGGCTTATCCTGCACCACACCGCATGACTTGTCCTGCACCATACCACATGACTTGCTACACCTCACCACAGTTACCACCCAAATCAACATGTGATTTGGGTGGTAACCCAAATCACCAGTGGTGATTTGGGTTACCACCCAAATCACCATTGGGTAACCCAGTGGTGTCGCTGGTGTTGCCAGCGACACAGTATTTTGTGTCGCTGACAACACCCGTTGTTGCCCATTTGTCGTCTCTTAATTTGGAGTTTTGTATTTATGTATAGGGAGGCAACCTGTGCTAGTTAGGAGGCCTATGAATTGGCCAAGGTATGGCGTTGTGAATAGGCCTATGAATTGGCCAGGTATCTCGTTGGTGAGTAGGCCTATATATGTCAAATCAAATCAAATGTTTATTCAGGTTAAAGTACATACATAGAAGATGAGTTACAAACATAACGTTGGATATATAGATAGAAATACATATTTCTTGAACATTCGTAATATCGTAGTCTCTGAATTCTGCGATGTTTTCACATTCAGTTACACCGTGATGTCAATAATTCTGCTTATCGTGTTTAGAGAGGGCGATGTCTGGGGCCTCGCCACTCCCAGAACACAGCCCCGCCAACACTGTTACCACGGGCGCTGGCGTCACGCACCTTAGCTACCACTTATTACTATACAACGAATCTGGCAAACATAAGAATGACGTTCAAATATCTAAAGAATGATTGAGTTTAACCGGAGCTAGACCATGCCAGCCCTAGAATACAGATCACTGGTACGCAGTACACATCCTAGCTAGGACCTAAACTATGTATCCCCTCACGGAGATTGGGTAACATAACAGTGCTGTGTAACGAAGCTTGTTAATGCGACTATAATAATCTAACCAGACGACGGCAGACCGGGTGTGAACAGGTAGTAAGACGAGTGAACCGATATGTTAGGGAGGAAGAGTGAAGCCTGATAGAGTGCCAGAAAGAGTAAGCGACACTCATGCAGCAGTATGACTTGTGGCGAGGAGTAAATGTTGTAACTCATGAGTAAGCTGAGTGTCTTGACTGCTCACACAAGCTCCGATACAGGACTGTTGACATGGACAAGTTAAACTCTCCAGTAAAGTCAATGAAAAGTAATCAACGTTACACAGGAAATGAAAGAAAGTTGGAAGGAGAGTGCGACTGATGAGATTATCAAAGAAAACTGCTAAAAGGATAAATGAAAGCTACAGTAAAGACTTGAAATTCCAAGAGAAAAAAGGAAAGTAGAGGACGGTACAGTAACATCTCTGGAGAGAACTTGGAAGAGAAGTGGAGGTGGACAATGATACATAGTCTTGTTTTGCATGAAGCGCGATGCATGAGTCCTGCCATGGGAGGAACAATTACTGCTGCTATCATGGTACACCTTCCCCAGTGTTGATATCAGTTATCAACGCACAGTGTCTTATACCTCTCTTTTTGAGTCATCATCAGCGGCAAGGTCTTTATAGTGTGTGAGGTTCACGTAAATTATGTAGTGTGTTCGTATACATTGTGACACCTGAGTACGGAAGTATAATCAATAATTCCCCTTGTCGGAGAGAGAGAGAGAGCCTATGCTAAGACTTTTGGAGACCCCCTTATAAGGGTCTTAGGCCAACTTCTTACCTTGCACATCATGCAAGATCTTCCCAAAATATTCCCAAACATTTTTGTCCTACCCAGGAATTGAACCGTTATCTTGGTTGTGAGTCGAGGACGTAGACTATTGTGCTACAAGACCATGCCTGAGAATTTTGTATTTGTTTATACAAGAGTTCTTACATTCTTGTACAGCCACTAGCACGCATAGCGTTTCGGGCAGGTTCTTAGTCCTAATTTTTCCCTGGAATACGACCCGCCAAATAGTTTAACAACCAAGTACACATTTACTGCTGGGTGAACAGAGGCTACAATTAAGTATTGGTGCCCAGTCAATCCTCCCCGGCCATGATACGAACCGACTGCACAGAATTAGTAATTGGTAAAGAATTAATAAAGAGGTATGCAATACTCGTCGATACTGGTCGCCAGGCATCCGTGTTTATATTTTGAAGCAAATACAGAGGCAGCTAAGTTGGTAAAGCCTATTATGAATCTCAGTCATAATGCTCTCTATGTAGAATGTCAAGAGGCCGGAATGGAACTTTAACTATTACTACTCTGTTGCCATATCATTAAAAGTAATTGTCTGCATTATTCATACCAAGAAGCAATGGGGAGCCAGTCAGCTGACACTTAACACAGTATGTCCTGGGTAAGTGTGGGCTAAGACGTGCTAGGCTCCACCTGAGAACATCTTCCACCACGGTGCCACGACACACCATAAAGTTATGCTTACTGAAAAGAAACGGGGCCTTCAATACTGCAGAACTGTGTACAGCATTTAAAACTTGAAAACAAGAGTGTTTAACAAAAAGAAAGACAAAGATATACATGAATTATTTTCCCAGGTAGAAAATGTTCATTGGCAAGTGTTCTCTGGCTAGTGACGTTGTTAGCAAAGTGTTTGCTGGACAGTGATCTCGTTAGTATGTGTTTGCTGTCTAATGCCTTAAAGGGAAATTGATTTGGAAATTCTTATTCCGTAATTTAAACAAGCTTCTAACATGCAACGCATCCCTCTCACCAGGTGTTAGACATAATGTTACATGGATTTTGTCTTTGAAATTCAGCTCGAAAACAACAAGTGATGATTTTCTTAATTAAATTTATATATTATACAACATACTATATGTAACATGAGACTCCAATATGGAGACAGAAATTCTATTACGCTTATCGAGGTAATCCTGGACCAACGACTGACCTTCCCCAGGATGCAAAACACAACAGTTGTCTAACTCCCGAGTACCTATTTCCTGCTAAGTGAACAGACACATCAGGTGAAAGGAAAGTTTACCGCGGGAATTAGGCTGTTGCTGCGACCCGTATGCGTTGATCATTAACGGCACAAGACGTTACCAGGCGTGGGGCGACTGGCTGAAACATCAACACCCACAAGGCAGCGTTCCCGCGGTGACGTGCAGTCAACAGGTAAACAAATGCACGCTTAAGGAGTGAATGAGACTAAATATAGTACAGAGACAGCCATCCTTGCTTCTTGTTGTTTTAGATTCAGCTTTGGGAACAAAACCTTCCAAACAGCACGGGGTATGTGAGCCCATCCTACTCACGGTCGGGAGTCAGTACATTAGACAACCGACGGTTAGAAAGACGGGGTCCAAGAGCTAGTAGTTCGTTCCTGCAGGCATAAATAGTAAATACAAATAGCAAATAGTAAACACACATCGCTTCCAAAGATTAGGGGGTTAGTGAGGATGTCAAAAGTGGTTCTACTCAACGACTTTACAATTTGTCGGAAATACCAAAGTTGTTCAGCCTGAATTAGTGCCCAGTGGTGCAGGGATGGGTGGCTGACACTTGAGCAGGCAGCGTGTGGTGATGGTGCAACAACCTGCACTCAGTCAACGAGAATATTTGGCCTCATATAACGCCTACGATCGAAAAGCGAACGTTCTATGTAGGACAAGTTGCTCCATGTCCACAATGCTGCTGTTTACCCCACTTCCGTTCTTCGAAAATTTACGCTCTAGAAAACTAGGGAAAACTGACAATGCGTGTTTTGTAAATAACCTGAAAATTGTCAACTTGTTTTCCTGTAAAA